TACGATCATGTGTGGTAAAAACTAAAAAAGGGGACCTTAAGAGACCTGTGCAATTGATATACCCCCTTGAACTATCAGACTGAAAATGAACTAAATTTGTAACCTTTTAATTTTACTTCTTATATTTCATATTCACTAACATTAATTTTAGATAATTAGTTTAGTTATTACTAATAATTTACTGTTTGTAATTTGAATTAATATTTACGTATTGAGTAACATTTGAGTTGATGCAGTTAACTATATTTGTTTATTTTATAGAATTTCCTTTTGCAGTTTATATTTACATCAGTTGAATGTATTTGATATGTAAGTTGCTTTCTTATATTTTATTATTTGTATGCTGAAATAGTGATAATTTTTGCAAAAATTATCAGGTGGGGAGTGTGGAAAAATCCCCCAAATGATTTATGTATCGCCGTTAGAGGGCGCTTCGCTTCTGAAAAAGAATGTTTTTTAGTTTGCGACGTAGTTAGTTAGCAGTGAACCTTCGATGCAATCCAGGTTGCTTTGTAAATAAAATGATTATTTTTGTAGATTGTTGAAGTATTTCACTTCATTTAGAATTAGATCAACCTTTCGCAATAAATGATAGAGGCAGGATGATCATTAGGGAGCAGTATCTGAACCTTTGACATAAAGGTATATTAGGGCTCGGCATTTAAAACACACTGTACACTGCAATAAGACATTCTTAAGGCAGAGGCCAATGGCTTGTATGCTGATACTAGGATTAGTCTCCACACCATCTAACACACTTTCTTCCATAATGATTAAATGCATCAATCGGGGCCTGTCCTCATTAGTACTGCTATTCTTAATGAACCGTATTGCACAAATTTTGATGCATGTATGCAAAAATTCTGTGGAGCAGTTGTTTTCTGTCTGGGAAGCATTCTTGATACATTTGTTTAGCGGCTCATTAATTCTTCTATTCTATACACTAAATGCATGTCTGCAAGCTCACCGCTTGTATACCATCGCATGCTACCACTCAAATGAGGAAATCCTCGCGTCCCTTCCAGCGCTCTCATGCATAGCACTACCTAGCGACTTATGACGATGTTTCTGATCCTGGGTTGGTATGCAATTCCGAATCCTTAGGATGTGCCATTTATTCCCTAAAAGTTTGCTGCTATATTTTTGAAATACCGTGTATATATAGGAAACAGAACAATGATATTTAGAGAAGATTACTGGAAAGATAAGCTGCATATAATTATGCTGTTACTTGCAAAATAAACTGCTAGTAAAACAATTGAATCGGAGATTTGCCATTCTGCAGTTTAGATGTTTTTTAAAAATGAATATTCTCCCAATAATATATGAAATAAATGAGTATTTTTATATTAGTGTTATTGAAAATGCTAGATATTTAGCATTTAAGCCATTAGCCCAAGCATTTGCTAATTTTACAAGGTTTGAATTTCTTTATAATGATTTGTTAAAAGCAGATGTCACATATGCATAGAGCAGTTTATGTGTTGGTAGAATGTCTCCTCTCATGAACATAGCACGTGTCAGCATCTATTATAGGAAAAACATATTTGGAAAGGGATGTATCAGACTTAGAAATTCCTTGGTCGTCAATTTATTGAGCTCATCAATCCACTGTGTGGAGTAAAAAGTAACTTAGTTCTGATAACATGATGTGCTAGTTGTTGAATTTTATGTGTTATTGAACTCGGAGATGGATGGCTGTCTGATGTTGAAATTAATTAAAGAGCTTTTATGTAAATGTCTGTTTAGATGAATGGTCATGCTAATTAGAGAGCTACTGTTGGTAAGTAGCCTTCCAATAGTCTGACCAACTGTTCTCAAAAGACATTTCTCCAAGTTCATTGATACATCAATCTCCAACAGAGCCAGATTTAGACTCGTTGGGACTCTTTATAAGACTGTTATAGTATATTTTAATACTATTTATACTATATTTTAATTTTTTGGGGGGGCCTAAGCTTTAGCTTGTGTAGCTTATATGTAAATCCAGCCCTGATCTCCATAGTTAGTGCATCATCTTATCAAACTGAAGGAGTGAAGTAAGTGACCATCAGAAGATATTTGCAGATTTGACTAATAAGACTCACTTATACAGCCAGATTTATAAGTGAGCTATGTTAAACATGAAGTTCCACAGGAGATGTTTTATGATTGAATCCATGTTGATGCTGCATATTTCAAATAATAACATCAGTGTACTCAGCAATACTTATAACTGAATTCTGGTTGAGTTGTAAAGAATGGCTATTGATTGCAGGTTACATGTAGTCTAGTACCTACATCAGAATGATATGAAGCATGAATTCATCATTTGATACTTTTAAAGAAACTGTGAATGCAAATGGTTCTTTCTCAATCAATGGAAATCAATGTACATGTAGGTAATACTTGTGCATTCAGAAGACTATTATATCTATTAATAGAACTCTTCAGTATTTCAAATAGCCAGAGAATTAAATTATTGGAGAGGCAGAAATTATTTGTTTTGCATTCTTATACTGTATACAGGTGATTTTATATGATTGGTATACATGACTTGCATATGGCTGTGCCATTAATCATGTACATGATTTCTCATTATGCGAATTTTGGTTGAATGGATGTGTTACTAATTTAATGACCAGTACGTAAAAGCGTTTTTCAAAAATATAAAATGGTTTCTTTTGCTTATTTTTAATTAAACAGGTCTATTGTTATTTTAAAGTATATTGTGTATAAAAATATTATTTAACATATAGTTTTTATGTCCAATTAGGCAAAAAAAAGTAATCTTGGATTGGGATACAGCTTGAATAAAACTCTCTCGATTTTGAAGGTGATAGACACAAGTTTCTTTGCTTTAAGAGCAAAAAAAGTTTTGTCAACATAATTTTGCTTCCTAAAAAGAGGAACTGGTGTCTGATTTCCTTTCAAATTGATAGTTAAGCTAAAGTTTTTTGGGGGGCCTAATTTAAAATTTTATATTGGTGTAATTATTTGATTTCTAGTTTGAGTTTTTATGTAATATTTTTTCCATATACAGTCAAAAGTCAAAAGCCAGGGAGAAAAAATTGCTAATTTTTTTAATAATATCAAACATACAGCATCTTTTTTTGCTCTTTACCTTTTGTTTAATAAATAAGCTTTACAAATAAGTCAAATTTGTTTTGCTTCTAACTCTTCCTTTGACTGATTTTGCATTATCCTTAATTTATGGATATGAGTGTAGTTGTTCTTGCATCAGATACAATGGTAATGTTCTGTGTGAGAGTCGTTCATAAAGCCCAGTTTCAACTGCGAGTAAAATCACTCACGGCTGTGCATTCTCTATGGCTCATATCGACGTGATCTTCAACAGTATTATTACATTTGATACCACAGCCTATTCTGTTGACTTGTAGTAATGTTGTTACATAGCACACATGATTGCAATGGAACCACTATTTAGGGTTCAAAATCTGAGTTTCTACTATAACTACACCAATAAATAGGTAGAACTGACGCTCGCAACCATTACTTTTTTAATGATAATTCTTTAACTGAAGAAAATTTGAGCTATGCAGTGCTTACATATGTGGAATAGGAGGTATTTAAAAATGTTAACTGGATGATCCTGACAAGTCTATATACGATCAAATAATTAAAATTTTCTTCCGATCAGTTATTCTCATTAATCATACTTATGCTTTTGATCCATTGAAATACTGATTTTTGTTTTTTTTCAGAGTTAACGGTGCTGTTTCAAACATGCCAGACTTCAGAGATGTGTTCAATTGTCCTGCAGGAAGTGCGATGAATTCTGAAATTAAATGTAACCTTTTATGAAGAAGAAAAAAACAAAATGTCAAAATTTTAGAAAATCTGAAATCTTTTATAGATTGTATTAGTTTTTCTCTTATAAACACCAGTTTTAAGGGATCCCCCAAAAGAAAATCAGATTTATATTCAAACTTATCGAGAAATTTCATTTGATCTTAAATATCTTATACAGTCAAAAGTCGTTAATCCGGACTCGTCGGGACTACGGCGATTCCGGATTATCGATTTTTCCGGATTATAGATCATGAGTTTAAATCTCGTAAGATGGCATGCAGAAATTCTCAAATTAAAAATATGAAATCGTAATTTATGAAATAAAGAACAATTATGATCTACAGGGTATCAAAATTTACCAAAAAAAAAAAAGCTTAATATTTATTTGTTTACTTTATTAAACATTTTTTTAAATGTAAGTTGTTTAAGTTGCTTCGTTTTATGTGATAATACTTTCTCTTTAATTCTATAAACAGACATAATTTCTTGTTCAGTTACAAAGTTCCGCTGTTCAAGTCTCGTTAATTCCTGTGCCGAGAATACCGACTAACTTGTCAATCGAAATTTTTTCGTTTTCACTAACCTGTCTGTCACCTTCTTCATGTCTTTATGCATTTTTTTGCAGCAATTTCACTTTTTGTTTGATGGACATCGAAACATACTTTCGTTTTGTACGATCCTTTGGGAGCTCCAGAATCGGAAATTCTTTTTGACGTAATCGAAAGTTCAAGTTTACTTTTATAGTATTGCTCTTACAGTCTGCAAAAATAATAAGCCGGATCCAATTTGAAAATTAAGGAACAACGCAATCATCAACATTAACTGAAATAGATAATTAGATAATTTTAGCTTATACCGTCCGTTATACATAAAGCGTGCACGCGAAAACGTATTCTGCACTTGCGCACACGCATATGTGCTGTCATAAAAGGTCTTACACGCACGCGTGAACGCCTATGCGCATGTGTCAACGCAGCGCATGCGCAAAAAGTTTTTAGCTTTGAGGTCCGGATTATAGATCATTCCGGATTATGGGTGTCCGAATTAACGACTTTTGACTGTATCTTTAAATTATCTTGTACTTATTCATCTTCTTTCCTTGATTATGGAAATCAAATTATCAAATAGTCAGTGGTCAGTGTTCAAAAAGTTCCATTGTGATTCATTTATTGCATTAAACTTCATGATTTGTTTTGCATCTTTGATAGGATACGTCCAAGGAATGAGTGACCTGTTGTCACCCATTTTAGTTGTTATGCAGAATGAACTAGATGCATTCTGGTGTTTTGCAGGGTGGTTACAAACAATAGTGAGTTGAGTTATTTCGGTAATATTTTTTAAGCATACTTTGGTTTTTATTATTGCAGTATATTTTTTTATTTAATATGAAAGTTTAAATTATATGAAATAAATTTATCTTTTATGATTAAATAATGCAAGGCCAAGATAAAAAATAGAATAATTACTGTGATTTTTCATTCATTGAAAAGTTATGCATAAGTTTACATAAAAATTTACGTTTTTTATAAATACATTTTGATACGTGGCTTGAATATGTATGCAAGTACCATTGTCAAATAGGCATAATATAAGAGCAGGTGCATTATTAATTTACTACACAGTTGTATCATTATTAATGAAATTGTACTACATTTTCAGTTTCAGAACTCATTTTCATCAAGATTAATATTTGTTATAAACAGCTGTTGATCAGAATAACATTTTATTACGGGCTTGTAAATGACATTAATTTCAACATACAGCGTTAGCTTTTTGTATTGATCATTGCAATCCAATTAATATAATTTATGAACAAAAGCAAAATTAAATTAAAATTGTTTTAAAGATTTATTGTAGTCAGTTATTTCACCTTATTTATGTATTTTATGTTTAGGATTTTGTTTTAATTATAGCTTGATTTACATCATCTTTAGGGTGTAAATTTTGAATTAGAACAGCAAGGCATAAAGAACCAGTTGCAGAATCTGCATAGGTTATTACATTTTGTGGATTCGCAGTTATGTAGCTATTTAGGTAATTTTATTTCATCTTTTGAACTTTAAATATCTTTGAGTATTATTATTAAGCAGTTTTATGTAAAAACGAAACATTTGATTGGCTTTGTTATTAAATGTTTTACATTTTATTTTAGATGTGTAGTGTATGCATGTAATATATATAAATAATAATAAAGAAATAATAAGGAAAAATGAAAGCAGTTAAGTTTGATTAAACTAAAAAAAGAAGATGCTATTATTTAATGTTAAAATTAAAGAAAGTAAATTTGTATTTTTATGCAAACACTGTAGAGAACACAAAAAATGAACAAAGCAAGTCAACACAAATTTTAAATACATAAAAAAAAAGTTTACTTCAAATATTTCAGTGTTTTTAATTATTTTATTTATATTTTTTTTTGTGGTTTTACATGGTTTGGTTAGCTCAGAAACAAGCTGTGATTTTTGCATTTCCCTGAGCACCAACCCCATGATGAAGATGTCATAAGAAATGCAAAATTACCTCTTAATGATTTTAATTGTTTTAAATTTTTTTGTAAGAGATTTTTTGAATTTGTAACTTTTGCCAGTTTTATACAGTGATTGTGCTCATTGCTTTTTGTTATTCCCTCCTACTTTACTGTTTCAAAGGGATATGAATTTAAATTTACCAGTTATTTTATTTTTTTGATATATAAAATAAATTAATAGGTTTAAAGTCATTCCATAATCAATTCACAACAAAGTATATGAAATGATAAAAATCCAGAAGCATAGTGGTAGATTGCATGTAGGTTGCAAAATTGTTATAAAAAATAAAAATGGTAAAAATTAATTTAGATGTTTTGCTGCATGGTTATCAAGGATTTGGTGCATTGAAAGAAGTAAATAGATCAACTGGCTTTTAAACTTACAAAAACATGAATTAAAAAATAGAGTTTGATACATAAATAACATTACTTTGGCTTAATTTTTGAGTGGGTAGCATGTCAAAATTGTAGCATTGTTGCATTTTGGATTTATAATCCAGTTTTTTCTTTTTACAATTATCAAATTTAACTACATCATGTTTAATGTTACATTAGAAGTTTTCTATTTGTTTTAACATTATTAATGTAGGTTTTACTTTCAAAACGATAGAGCACAAATATTGCATTTTTAAATGCTTTCATTTTACTAATCAGAAATAGATAAAAGTAATAAAGATAAATTAAATAAAGATTAATGTTGCAGGATTCATGTAATGAAGAACAATCACAGACAATATTAGTTCTTCTGGCGTTGATAGAATACGTTAGTCACAGCTTTAAATAATATGTTCAGCTTGTATTAAGCAACAAACACCAAAAAGAACCAAAACACCTAAGAAGACCGTCTGTCTTCTTCAACTCTTGAAGACGAGCAAGCCATCCGCTCGCGTCTGTTACTCTCGTCTATGTCTGGACGCTATCTGATGCTGTCTGGAATGCTCCGCACTGCGCTGTGCTGTGATGACGTCATCATGCTGGTATTCTAATTCAGCATAGGTTGTCGATGATCTCCACATTAATTAGTTTCAAATTTGTTGTTAATCTAATTTCATTACCTAGCACATGTTAGGCTTAGCACCTGTCTTATCCCACTGAACATTAATTAATTTTTTTCTTTAAACATTTGTAGCCCTAATGTTATGGATTTAAGAATTAGCTCTTATCTTTTTGTTATCATTCTGTGTTTTTAGTATCAAATCTTCATGTGTTGGATTGCTTGTGTTTACATGCTTTGTTTTTTGGACTCGGTCTGCTTAAAAAAAGAGAGAGAGATTTATGGTTTTGATGCTATAATTTTCCAATTTTTTGTACAACTCACTCCGGCCTTTATGGATATCAAATTTTCATATATTAGATTGCTTGTGTTTACATATTATGTGTTATGTTTGCTCAAAAAGAAGAAAAAAAATATATATTTAAGCTCTTGTAAGCTTGTGGTTTTGATGTTTTTTTTTTTTTTTTTTTTTTTTTTTCACCTGCAGGAGTTTTACTGATAGAGACATGGATTACTTTAATTTTCTGAGATTATTTTAAGTATTTAACTCTAATTTTAAATTTTTGTTTGTTAGTTCAGAAACAGTCTGATGCACATAAACCATGTAACACAAAAGCATTTAGTTTAAGATTTGCTAAAGGGAGAATGAAATATGGCAACTTTATTTGAGTGTATTGAATATGTTTAGGATCATCTGGAGTTTTATATTAGAATGAGCTAAAATATGTTTGGTATTAAACATGTCTGAGATGATTTGGAACATGTTCAGGTCAGTATTTACATGGGAGGTATATTCAAACAATTACTGTTTAGTGCTAAAAAAAAAAAAAAAAAAGCACACATTTCTGCAACTGTATGATATGCTTTCATTCATAGAGAAAAGGCAATGTTATGAAAAAATACTTCATACGAGATAAAAGCACTGCACCTGGGTACAGAAGTAGTACTTTCTAAAAAATGGTTTTAATATTAAACTATTATACATGTCCAGTTGTTGTATATAACTACCATTCTAGTTGATGCAGTTTACCAGTTCAGTGTGACATTTTTTTCAGAGAATGCTGGAATTTTGTCTTGATGTACTCTACATTACGTGGGAACGATCAAAGTTGTTCTGTTTATCCTCATTGCCAATCATTCCTCAAAGATTTGTGATTGCCACAACATATGAGATCCTGCTGTCTGATTAACACTTTGACTGCCGTGGGGATCACCGGTGACCAGCACTCGGCTATAGTGCCGTGGGTGCCACCGATGACTGGTGACGTGACCAATAGTAAAATACATAATTACAGTAAATATCGATACTGATAAATTTTTAAATAGTACCATTGTTACTGTAATGGTTTGAAGAATAATAAATCGTAAAAATTTAAATTGTAAATCGCAATAATTGTCTACAGTGTGTTGGGGGATGGGTAACCGGCGACCCCCCCCACCACGAAAAATGCATTAAGCACGATTATATAACTCACATTATCTTCTGTAGATAATATTTCAACATAATATACATCGCATAATAAAAATTCCAAGTTGACGTCATGGGCAAACCACGTAAAATGCGTGCAGCACTCAACGTGTTAATCACCTTGACTTGTATCAAAAGATACCTGATGATGTGTATAAATGGGCTGTTATATTCTGTGCATTATTCTGTTTTAAATTGCACTGAACTGTAAAATCTTCTGAATGTATGGCTTTCCATCTTTGTAATTTTTATATATACTAAAGGTTCGTGTGATGACAGCCTAAACTGACCCTATATTAACCCCCTGAGTACCCAGGGTTTTCGTTGAGAAAGCATAAATTTTCCAAAACTACTGTGAGAACAAATTCTTTTTTTGATTTTAATATAAAACTCTCCTGGTATTTCATACCTAGATTTGTGTACTTTTGATATATTGCCTCAATTTGACATATTTTAATATACACGTATATATACGTTCTTACAGATATCGCAAAAAGTATTCCAGGCAGTATATATACAGCCTTGCCTCTTAGAGGGTTAATGAGCTATGTGATATCTGAATAGCAGCAAAAGGATCAGCCTGGTTACCACATTGTGTCTAGACTTTGTGACCATCAATTCAGTTTCAAAAGAAACATGTTTAATGTTTAGCATTGTAACTTAAAAAAATAAAATAAAATAGATTAACCTTTTTTTTTTTTTTAACCAAGAACATTTGTTTGATTTTATAAGTCCATGTAGTAATCTCGCAGCCATACATGTATATGTTTAAAGATTTAATGTCAAAATGTTATTATTATTTTTTTAATAGACTAATACACTATACATGTATCTTACTGAGGGCCATGATCACCCCTCCCCTTATTAGATTTTAGCATTAATCAACTATATTTTCATATTGAAATTGCATTACTGACTTCATTTTCACTTTTAAAAATACTTGGCATTTTTATATTACAAGTTAAATATTTCTTGTTTTAAATGTTTTATTGGAATTATATCAGAGTGAAACAGAGCATTTGCCAAGTTTTATAGGGAATTTGATGATAACAATTGCCATTTTATATCAAGTGGTGATGAAAGTAATAGTTCCAGGAGTGAAATTTTTTTTTTTTTAAGTTTGTGGAAATTTATTTCTGTTCCTACATATGGCTGCTGCTTTTGCCTGGAATAAAATAAGATTTCAATCTTTTGTACTACTCTTTTGAAAATGAACATTAGTTACCTGGATATTGATATGAAGTGATTTCTTACTTATCTGAAAGCATAAATAGATCTAGAGTAAATTATGTATCCAGAAATCCTGCATTTTGCAAAAATTTGAATTTTTTTTTGAAAAACACAAATTTTTTTTAATTTAAATTATGTTACATTATATATCACTAAAAAGTTTATATTAAAAAAATTGAAATAAGTTAAAACGTTTAGCATTCTACTCGTGTTTAAATGTGAAAGTAATTGAAAAAATTCATTGGAGAGAAACTGAATTTTCTTGTATTCAGACACACTGTAGTCATAAGGTGCCTGGAAAAAAAGTTAATAATTAGCATATAGTATTATATATAATCACTTATTATCTTATGTTTGCATATTAATATTATTAAATTTCATTTATCGTATGGACTTATGAATGTAGAGTATGAAACAATTTTAAGTTGTTTCTTATCTATACATTTATATTTCGTGATTCACAGTTTTCATTTGATTTTGTGTTATATTACTTTAGGTATTTTCTCTTATTGATATTTTTAGCCCAAATGGAACATTAGTCCAAAATGGGATATAAGTCTCGAAACAGCATTTTGTGTCAAAACACTTAAATGTGTTGTATCTTTACACTGTTACCACCAAATGTTATTGCTCTGTATTATATTTAAAGAAATTAAAGAATGAAAAATCTACATGAATATATGTATGTTTCTAGTGTTGTGGAAAAACACCAGTATCTAGAGCCATCAAATTTTGAAGTAATGCAGTCCTGTACTTGAACATGGACACCTGGAAGCCTGAATTTTGAATTTATTTTATTATCTATTTCATATTTT